CAAAATAGAAAAGCAAGTTGGTGAGGTTAGACCTGCTGTTTGTATTCTGTCCTGACTTTTAATTAAGGCAAATAATACTGCATCATTCAGGCACTTAGAGATTTATTTAGGTCGTAATGCCTGTGGATCTGTAATGGACACGAACTAAATGGAAAGAGGAAAGTAATGACCCTCATTTGTCTTCATTTTACTGTGCTTACCAGAGCTATCCCTCGCCTCTAAATTTGCTTTTCAATTAAAAAACATTTATTGAATCCCTGCTAATGCTCTGAAAATGAATGATGGCATTTGGGAGAAAAACATTCCACATTTTTCTCTTTTCTTCTTTGCCAGCAATGTTAACTGGCTGTTTGAGAATGCGTCTTAAAGAGAAATACTCTATCCACAGGCATAACGCATGATTAAAAATGAACCTAATATTTTATGCATTTGATAAATACTGATGTCAGAAAGCCATGCTTTGTAGGAGTTGGCATTGTGCCTGGTGCCTTTTTCTGGAAACTTCTTCTTTGCTTTTTATAATAATACCAAAATAACATCATCCCCTGTAATGGCAGCTCCTCCTCACTTTCCTTCCCTTCACACACTTTTTTAATCCGTACTTTTCTTAAATATTGGGGTTCTAAAAATCTGCTTATCTTCTGTTTTCACACTACTCAGTCCTCTTGAATAATTTCATCTTTTCCCTTGGTTTCATCTTCATACCAGCTAACCTCCTTATCTACTCCTCAGCCCCCTTTCTACTAAGCTTCAGTCTCATCCAGCCAGCAGTCCAGGGAACCCCTTCCCTGGCCAGCTCCCTGGCTCTGAGGTTGAGCTCATTACCCACCCCCTGACCCCCATACCTGCTCCTGCTTCTTTCTTCCACTGAGAAACGACTAGCCCTGCCTGGGTGTAATTCTGACGCCTCACTCTCAGTTCTCTCGTCACCTGGTCTTGCCCGCTTCCGTCTCTTGAACCTGTTTTCTTGTCACCCATCCTACCGTAGACTGGCACTTAGCCTTTCCTATATCCTACTGCAGTTGTGCGGTGCCATATGAGCGGCCTCTTCTACCTCCAGTCTGGTTTTCCTACATTTCATTCCAAAATTCCAGAATTTTCTCAAACTTCATCACAGTTTTGCTCTGTGAAATCTTCCCACATTTTTGCATTGCCTGGGGGATAAATTCTTCACCCTTAAGGTTTGTAGAAAAGCCTTATGAT